TTTTTTTTTTTTTTTTTGTCAAGCGATAAAACTTCTGTAATGTTGTGTTGCTATAGTCGATTGAAAGAACACACATAAGACTGTGTATGACATGGACTATTACTCACTGATAATAAATGAATTTGCAAAATTACTTTCAATTTGTTTAGTATTTTTTAAGTATTCAAGTTGTATTGAAATTTGTCTGCCCCAGCTGCTCTGAAGGGTGCACTTAGAACAGCTGTAACTTCAACCAGTGATAGTCGAGCTGACACCACAAGACAAACATTTAACATGGGGACCCACATTACATCTTAACAAATTGACCTGTTTTAGTGGACATATTTTACGCTATGGACTTGGCAAATTGTATTCAAAGTTTCCTAAATCTATCTTGCAAGCTAGACAGAAGGGTGACTGAAAATATCTAAATCAAAATTGGTATTTGCCAGAAATGTTCTGTTTTTGAGGATTACCTCTCCGTATTTGAGGGATTTCAATAACTTACATTTGTATAAAGTTCTCAAATGCAAAAAGTGGGGGTGAGGGTGGGCTACAATCACTCCCAACCTACACGCTAATGCATGCTCAAGTGGGGGGAAGGGAGCACAGTCTTACTCCTAAAATTTGACTAAAAAATATAAGATAATAATTGTCACCAAAAAAATTATCAAGAAAAAATTAATGAAAATTTTCTTTCTCTGCATGCAATTGCAACTCAAATTCCCTGGACATTTTCCAACATAATTTTTGTTATCACAATCACGATAAAAAGTAAAATTAATAATAAAATTTCAGTGCGAGCTGCAGTCAGAGCAATGATTATTCAAAATTTTGCCGGGAAATTTTGATGACGTCTGAATCACCATAGCGAGAATTTTCATCCAATCAAAACAGGCCCGATTTGGCTGCGAGGCTTGTACACTTGGTCACGTGACACAGCAGACTTCAGTATTCCTTGCACTGAAGATTCGGCGTTTCATTGCATCTTTGTCTACGGCTTTAATTCAGTCAGGGATTTGATATAATTTGGAAGTGGTCGATCTGGGTTCACCTACAGACGACTGAGAGGGCGAAATCATTCGACCGCATCGACACCCTCAATCCAGGCAGGTAGGTGATTGATAAGATCCGAACGCCGCAATTGAAAATGATTGAGACATAGCAGGGCAATCAGGCACATCGATCAATTCCGTTTAGGTAGTTCTTGCTAATCGTTTTGTTCAATTTGTATGCATCCATTAATAAGTGTTTAACAGCGTGGTTAGTCTAGCGTATTCTGAATACTTTGTGCCCTTTCTTGTTGTGTAATACCCAGTGTTCGACACAGGTAGATTAGGTCCAGAATGCAGAAAATAAATGAAAGGCCAATATTCGGCGTTTCTATAAATTTCTAGGGTTAGATTACCCAAACTCAAGGGCATAGCATGTATGCCAGATACTAAAAATTTAATTATCGTATTTAGTCCCAAGGTCCACATCCCCACAGTCACTGCAACCAAGGAATTACATGTAGATCCTCTCAAATTCCTTGCTGCAACTTATTTATTGATCAAAAAAACAGTTTGTAAATGTAAACAGGTTTTCCTTTTTTTTGACATTGGACCATAGGTTTAAAGTTATATTTTTTTATGTTCATTTCTTCATTTGACACCAGCAATTAAAAGAGGAAAGGCTGTCTTACTTAAATTATGTCTCCAAAGTCAAGCCAAATGTCAGTTTGCAGTCTGTTGCATATGATATAGTCATTAAAGCATTTAGTTGACTTTCTTCCACCAGCCAGTCATAAACAGAGCATCCAAATCATCAACCAGGTAAGAGGTTGGCTGGTTGTACTGAACGTACTAAATCATAGGAAGTTTTCACTCACTAGCATTAACTTACGCTCACTTACACAAGTAATCTTTCACTCTCACGATCGATCCCAGATTCGATGGTCTAAAACTTCACGTAAGTGTGTGGGACAGAAACCAAGTCAACCACAAGGATAAATCAACATAACGCTGCTTTGTTCAACAACTGACCAAGATTCATTACAAAAATTATCTTTTATACAACTTTCTTTTATCGCTACGATCTCGGAATTTCTGCTGCAGGTCTGTGTCCGATCAGCGCACCAAAAGTTAATGGATTCTAATTACATAATTACGTTGTCGGGAGCGTCTCTTGATCTCTGGGTGCTCCCGACATATTCCTTCATTTTTCCCGAGAAAAAAATATATAATAATTTTTTTTATTATGTTTACCGGATGTGACATTTACATTATATTTTATTCACGATAATCTTAAATATATTAATCTTAAATTAAAACTGTTACGTTTCTTCTTTAATAGTTTATATTTATTCCGGCGCTGGCGTCGTCGGTCTCACCTAGATTCCACCCTTCTATTTGACCAATTTCTAACTTTGGAAGAGACCACAACAGGTTTCAGACAGTTTGTATGTTATCCATTCAAGACCAAAATTGATTGACCTGTTACTGTAGGTCTTCACTTTCACAAGGAACTATTTTGGTCCGGTGTGGCTTTAGGCCTTCCAGTGCACTCGGTAGGATTTTTCTAAGGGAGTACCGTACCCCTTGCCCAAAAAAAGAAGGGGTAATTTTCAAAATGAAGGGGTAAAATTAAAAAATGCTCATCAAGGTGTAATTTTGTGTATTAATAATCATGCAATCACACAGTTCACTTTCATAACAATAACCCACTATCCTTTTATCCAAAATCTTTTATTATTGCAATTTAACAAAAAGAAAACAAAAACAAAATGGACAGGTCACGCATAGGTCACGACTAGATACTGTGTTTCTTTGACTAGAGTAAAAGTAACTGGTGCTACCTAGTAAATGTAACAAAAGGAAAACATTCCTCTTTTGGCTTGAAAACAAAAATCTCAAAATAAATATAATAATAACAATCTCAAAATAAAAGATCTCAAGATAAAAAACCAAAATACAAGAAGCTCAGTA